GTCTGTAAAGGCCCTAAGTCATGTACCACTGTGGCCAGATCTGGCACCTCAAGGAATAGGCTCAGTTGACATACAAGCTTCAGATATACAAAAGCATTCCTGGTCACTGCAGAAACCTGGGCCTCCAGGTTCAAAGCCGATTCCAGAGTACACTGAAAACTGCAAGCCTGCATCTCCAAGGGGAGTATAACCCTGTCAAACACAGGCTGAATCCCTGTTCCCTGATCTGCCTTCCAATTAATCAGGCACACCTCTGTCTTGCCTGGATTAAGTTTCAATTTGTCTGCTCTCATCCAGTCTATTACTGGTGACAGACTCTGGTTTAGTACCAAGATAGCCTCCTTGGATTGGGGTGGAAAAGAGTAATAAAGCTGGGTATCATCCACATATTGATGACTTTTGTTGTCGTGGGCCTTCAAACTGTTTCTGACTTATGGAGATACTAAGGCAAACCTATCACAGGGTCTTCTTGGCAATTTTCTTCAGAGGGGGTTTGCTACTGCCATCCCCTGAGGGAGAATCTGTGACTTGCCCAAGGTCACCCAGTGGCTTTCCATGGCTGAGATGTGCACAAAAGAGCGGCCCCATGGTTATCTTGGCTCCTTTTTGTTCCAGTCCTAAGGACTGCAGCATGGCTTTGATGTGGTTTCTGGACACTTTGGAGGCATTCACTGTTTAATCAGCACACCTCCAAAGCAGCCAGAAGCCTCTTCATTTGGCCTGTCTGTTTCACCCATTTCTGAAATATGCACTTAACAAAAACAAATGCCAATATTAAAAGCAGCCCTACCACCATGGTCTTGTTAAACCAATATTACAAAGCTAGTTCAGAGGACAAAAGCCACTCTTGCACCAAAAGCAACTTCCTCAATCTTCCCTGGGAATACCTCGACCACCTAGCACACAAGCAAGCCAAGATACTGGTAGACCTAAAAATACTGCCATCTGAACCAGTCGGATCAGAACATGATCACAGAAAATGTTCCAAGATTCGTTGGAATGACTACATGCAATTGGAGTTATGTGCCAGCATCAAAATTGGAACA